ATATATATGAATATATATATAAAAAAACACTCTCCTAATAAAATGGAAACTACATACAGAGATACAAAATTTGCCTATAAAAGTGAGAAAACACTTTCTATTGAATGAAAACATACATTAAACCCCACTGAATTTGAAATTTCAGTCATTGGCAGTATTAGTAAATGCCAAAACAAAGTGGATTCATCATTTATGTTCTGTAGATGTAAAAATTATTAGCACATTTGGAAAAATCTAAAATTTCAGACTCTTAGCAGTGCCAGCTTTTGTTAGATGCCTGAAACTTTCTTCATGTATTGCAGGTTGTCTTTGTCAGCTGGTGTAAAAGCTTCTGGGACTGTGGACTTGTGGCACTGGATGATGTATCATTGAGCCTGGGAAGCTGCCAGGCTGCTGGTAAGACCATGTATATTTGTTGTCCAACAGCTGCCACCCTTTTAGTAAGAGTTCATTGCATGCCTTCATTTCCCAAGCCTATCCTACAGCTGCCTTCATCGCACTGTGGTTTCTTTTCTTTTTCCAATAAGTATTGCATAAATCCTATTTTTGCAGTAGCATGCATACAGTGAGGACCAGTTTTTCTTCACAGGGGTACCAGCTAACGCCTAATTAACTTCACTGACTCCGGTGCAGTTGTATGTAGGTGTGCATTCCTCTTGGGGCACTACCATTTAAAAAAAAACAACAGTTCAACTGAGGAGAAAGTAGTTTTCAAATGTCTTCTAGGAAACCAGGAATGGACCCAAAAGCAGTATCTTCAAAGCATAGCATTCTTCTTTTTAGTCCAGAAGTACAGTTGTGCAAGGCCAAGACACAGGCCCTTATCTGAGCTGCAGTTCTCTAATGGAGACAGATGAGTTTAACTCTCCCTCCTGTAGCGGGAGGAACTGAATGTTTTTAAGCGAGACTTTACCCTCTGACATGCACAGGCTAACCTCTTTGAACTCACCCAAACTCCCTCTTCTGGGCCTTTTTGAGGTTTGACAATGCAATGATTGTATCCTAATTTGGAAACCATTCTCATGAGACAGGCACAATCTATAATCCCATTCTTCTTCGGAATAAAGCCATGCCTTTGAAATGGTGATGAGGCTGGTCTACCATGCCATTTATATTCCCATGTAATAAGAACTTTTTAATGACCTCTTTTGATTGGATTTCATGCATTCAGGCAGCTAGCCATTACAGAACAGAAAGAAGTCACATTTATGAAACAAGATGCCATTTTTCTAAAGTATTTCCAACAGTTGTCTGTTTTGCCTTTTTGTAGTTCCTAAGTAATTTGAAAATGAACCAAAGGTGCAGAACTGATACTTTGGTATATAGTCATACGGGGACTTGTCATTGATGGCAGAAAAAAAATGCCCCAAAAATGCCCAGAGTATGTGAGGCATCAAGGCTTCCTCCTTTCCAAAAGGTGAAAGTAGCTCAGCGTATCTACTCCTGAACTACAAATTCAGATTATAGCAGAAGACCTGACAGAAGCATCCTGGTGAGCACCTGAATTGTCAACTTTCTCTCTTCTGCATCATCTAATAGGATTGAAATAATGAAAATACTCTAGTAATTGCAGCTCTGTGGTCTGTTGTATGCAATATTAGAATCTGGTGCCAAGGGAACATAAGAGACCTAAATGTGGCATTTGATTTCTGATCACAGAAACTCCAATCTTTGACAAGACTCATTTAATATGCACGTTATATATGCTGGAGCTCATTAAACTGCTTGTGGTGCCACAGTAGTGAAGAAAATTACACTGGTAGACCCCATTGTGGAGTAAGAGCTATGATGAGATAATAAACTGTATGAGATGTTTTAAAGAATATTGATGCACATTTGAGTCAGACTAGGGCACAGATTTCCCCAAAGCTGTGAAGAAAATGAAACTAAATTTTGTTTAGTTTTGCTAGTTTGAAGCTAGCTTTTATAAGCTTGTGACTACACAAGTAAGTATTGCTACACTGTAAGTATTGCTAGGTAGGTACAAGTGATTTCAGCAGGGGAGGGAATGTAATACATTGCTTGTGTAATCTCTCCATATATCTGTCTAATATATTTGCAGTTTTAAACAATGTCCTCTCCTTATAGATCTATCGCTGCCCAATCCTGGAGAGTGTACTTTTGAAAAAGATGAGTGTGTGTTTACCCAGAAGAAGAGAGGTCGTGGGATCTGGCACAGGAGGAGGGGTCCAACTCCCACTTCTTACACCGGACCGAAAGGAGACCACACTACTGGGGTAGGTGAGTTAAGCTCCACATTGAACTTTCAGAACAGAGATTGATAGTTAATCAAAAATACTTTGAAATTATAACCTAGAACACAGAGGAAGTTTTTACTGTTCTGTGCAGAACAGTTATTAATCAATGAAGTAAACATGTTTCTTACGGAACCATGCATGGTTTTGAGAATGTCATGTTTAATCTGAATAATCTGTAGACCAAGTGGGTAATTCAGTCTTCATGTCCTAAAGTAGCCCTTCAGGAGAAAAAAGGACAGGATGACGCTCCAGACCCCACAGAAAAGCCTTCTTCCAAACCCCTAGTTTATGTGAATATTCCCTGAAACTAAAAGGCAAACAAGTGGCTGGGGGCTCTTCTGCATCAACACCTCCCTGTTCAAACTTAGAAGAAAACATGGATAATAAAAGAGGTCCTACAGACCCTTTGTCTTAAAAATCTGCTCCATAAACTCACTTGTTTAATTTAAAGTATTTAGGCAAGTGGGGCCCCCATTAGCATGAGCAAGCACACAGAAAATGACATCAGAATTGCCCCTACACTGGGGCAGTACCTGGTGACTTTTGGAAATGATGAACTGTGTCACTGCGTTGGGTGCTCATGTTCCTGCAGAAGAGGACCTCAGTAACAACTCCAGTGACTCAGAATAATGGATAAAACTGCCCTAAGGCTTGTGAACTTCAAATGCTTACAATAGGTTTAAAAAGGCTTTTGGGGCCTTTGGGTTTGCCCTCCTTCACAGTGCTTAGCATTCATTCAACAAGTTATAAAGACAGTTGCAGACAAGCTGGCTTATTCTCAGTAGCCATCTATCGAGTCTGTTAAAAATTTTAGCTGGATTACAAAAGCAGTTGGCCTGCTCAAAAGGCTCACCAAAAGCTATTATTCTGTCAACTGTGATTGAGTGTGAACCACATTAAGCATTATCAAGCATAGTTATTTCAGCTGTGCATATGGAGTCTCGCTCCATGCAAGCTTAATTCAAGTCACTCTGGAAAACTGTTGTTTCTAGTTAACAAAATAACAAATGCTTCTAGTTAATAAAACAATAAATGTTTTGTCTTGTTTCTGATCTCTTTATGTAAAAAGATGGCCTTGTGCACATTCAGCAAAATCTCCCTTTTCTGTCTCCTGGTAAAATTTCTGTAATAGCTGCATCCCGAGCAAGGCATGGAAATTGACTAGAGAGATGTAAATTCATGGTATGGGGGACTGTATGGCCAAAGTCCTACACATGGAATTGAGAATGCAGATAGGAATATTTCTCTGGCTTGAAATTTCAGATCACCAAGAAATTATGTTCTTCCATTGTTAATTCTAAACAGCACTGATTCTGGGTAAAAATATGAATAATCTTCAGAGATAGCTAAGTTTTAAAGCTTAAAGCTTCTCTTATATGTTATGAAATAAACATGAGAAACATTACTTAGAAATCTGACCATATTCTGACCAGATCTATTGGTTAAGTTATCGAAGTGGAAAATGTAGGCTATCTGCAAATCAAGAACATGTTCCCAATAATGCTATCTTTGTACTGTGGAATGACTTTCAAAAGGGAATATTGACATTCTTGTCCCTTTTCCATTTAAAAATTAGATGATTATCAGAGTGAATTAGATGACATACTGTCTGTCTTTGTTACCCATGCTGTCCAGTTCTTCTGCATCAACTAGACAACTGTGATCACCAGCTTTAAAATAAGTGAGAACGTTTCCTAACAGTTTTTGAAGTTCATTTTGAGAATTTTATTTTGAAACGTGGGTGAGCCTCTTGGAGAGGCATCTGTAGGCCATCTCTGTATTGTCCTCCAGGCCTTTGTTTTCCTACAAAACATAATCCAAAAGGACAACATCCCATTAAAATTGCTGGTTGTTTTGGTAGGTAACCAAACTCAATTCCATAAAAGGATTCAACTTTCAGGTTTGCTTGACGCTTTTTCCCCCCCTGGTTATGCCCTAGATAATACATCTTATTCTTCCTCTTTCACATACTCTGTATCCCAGCCCTTGCGTTTCCAAGGACAATAACCCTTTCCTTATAGTAGGAGCAACACTTACAAGTTTCTTGCTCAAGAGAAGGAATGGGCTGTTAGCAGAATCTTCTTGATTTATAAGGCAGAAACGACTTTAGACCTATTTTTAGTTTATGTAGATCACTAAGTATTCTGCGATCTGAGACTGACAGCTTGACTTTAGAACTGGTGAAGCAAGAGAATCTTTTAAGCCTGGCCTGTGACAAGAACGTTTATTCCTTATTTCACACATCTCTTTCCAGCAAGATGTGTTGAGAAATACATGGATTTGAATTCACAAAACCAAGAGCTGATCTAGTCTTTCCAACGACTTTATAATATGATTCAGACCTTAGAACTCAAGGCAAGTTATTATACTGTAATATGAGCTGTCGGTTTTGTTTTTTAACTCAAGGAACTTTTAAGCATAGTGAACATCAAAATCCTCGCAATGGCTTGCACTAGGTTTGGTATAAATAGCCTTGAGAATTCTCCAACACACTGTATGAAATTATCTTTTCCTTGCAGACCTACAGCTGTAGATAATCTTTTTTTTTTTTTACCCATTCTCTCTACTGCTGCTCACCACCAAACTACAACCCGGTTAGAGGGGATGTCTTCAGTATGGGTTTGTATAGATAATAGGACTCTGAGTATCATGAGAGACACCCCAAGCATCCACTGGCTGCTCTTGCCGCTCACAGCTTTTCTCCTGCCTCACTGATCCTTAGGAATCCCCTCTCCCCCTGAGGGCAATCTCACTGCCAGGACTTGTCGTGGCAGAAGGGCAGCTTGTTTTCTCCAACACCAGAAAAAGGGAGCAGTGGGACGGCGTGAAGAGCTGCTGCAAAATCAGAGTTCACTGCCTGCTGGCAGAGTGTACATCTCACGGCACAGAACAGCTGCCATCTGCAGCAGATAGGACATGGGGATGCTCCTCAGTCTTCTGACACACTTTGGTTTGCTCTGGCTGGAAATAACTCAATGATGGGTTGGGGGGTGGATTAGTTTGCCTGCCACCAATTAATGACTAATTTTTCCACAGATCAGAGTTCATGACAATCTTTAATTCATTCATGGATTCTAGAGGGTCTAGTTTTCCTCGCTTGTGTCTTCACATCTTGATCACAGAAAGAAAATTATTGTTGATGTTATACATGATTTAAAAGAGGTATTTCAATTAATTTGCTCTGTTAATAGCATCAGCTCCAACCATTGCCTAAACTGTACTCTCAGATATACATGCAGCTGTCTCTGAATTCCAATTAATCAACCACCATCAGAGTGCATTCCTGGTTTAAGAACAGCTATGATTTTTTCTTGCTTTGTATTCCCTTCTGTTGCTATGTATTTCATCAGATACAAACAAGTTTTTAAGTGTTCTATTAACATTCACAAATATTACCACTATTACACTAACACAATTATTACAATATCACAAGTATTACAGTTCACAAATATATCTACAGCATAAAAATCTTTATCAAAATAGTTTCAATCATAGATTTTTATTGATTCAGCATGTTGAGCATAATGAACATGCTGAGAGAATGTATTCTACTTTGCTAACATTTGCTTGTGTATCTTTTTAAGGATACTACATGTATATAGAGGCATCCAACATGGTCTACGGACAGAGAGCATACCTGGTTTCAAGATCACTAAGAGGAACCTCTGGAAAACAGTGCTTAACATTTTTCTATCACATGTATGGAGCTGGGACTGGATTATTAAGTGTTTATCTAAAAAAGGAAGGTGATGATGAAGAGATTCCTTTGTGGAGGAGGACAGGGGAACAAAGCATCTCATGGCTAAGGGGATTGATAGAATATGAAAGTGACAGAAACCACCAGGTAAGAAAAAACAAACAAAAAGCAGTCAAAATGGAATATTGAAATGAACTATGTGCTAGAATCCAAGTTTTTGGTTGTATAAAAATAAATTAAAATGTTGAAATGTAGATAGCACTGAATGGACACCTGAACAACCTAAAGTAATGTGTAATTTCTTACAAATGAAGGTAGGGAGGGAGTTATTAAGACATTAATAGGATGTAAGTATGAAAATAGTTCACTAATTCAAAATTATTTTTTTAAAGTATGTAAATGCTGTTTTCCATCATTTGTTGTCAGTAGTGGTAGTTTTTGTTTAGATCATTTGTGCAACTTCTTTTCCTTCAGCTGTCCAAAGCCCTGTCTAGATTTGACGTAACCACTAAGCTGTCATAAAATGGCTGCTTCTTGCAGGATGGTCTTTCTGAGGTGGCACCAAAGGCAAGGGATGATGGAAAGCCAGAGCTCTCCCTTTGGTTTCAACAGTGCCATCATTTCAGTGTTGGCAGAGACAAAGCTTGGCTCAGTTTCTCTGTCAAAGAGGAAGCCGAAATTGCTATTGACTGAAACAGCACAGGGCACAAAACTGCACTGATCACTAACCAAAGATGGCATGTTGTGGTTTTTTTAATAACTTTGCCTTAAGAGCCTGGAAATAATTGGGGGTGGGGTGGGGGGTGGGGTGGGGAGTGGGAAGAAACCTTTTACTGAAAAGCAAGTTTAGCTTCATCAGTAAGACTACGACATAATCCTGTAATGGTTTTTTTTCCACTCAAGTCTTGCTTGCATAGGGACAACACACATTTGGGCTGAAAAGCAAGATAGAAATGCCACATCACTAGAGAAAATTTATTAGTGGTCTGTAACACACAGCAATTTTTTATCAAAGTGTGAGAACAAATTTGCCTCCTTCAGCATAGCACACACCCAAATTCTCTGACCAGGGCAGTCAGTCCACTGATGGAGCATAGAAGTTTCTTTCCAAGAGGCAGGCTTTCAGGACACACTAGATCCTTGAATAGACTGTATGGGTATTACTTTTTTTAGTCCTTCCTCCTGTGGGATTCATGAAAAGCTGTGTCTTATCTTTACAGATTATTTTTGAGGCAATCCGCGGTGTGTCAATGAGAAGTGACACTGCTATAGATGATATTCTGTTCCAGGCAGGACCCTGTTTAGGTAAGTTTAAACATACTCTGTTTCTCTTAGGAGACACCTAGCAATTCACAGTGCTTTTTGTAATTAGACAGGTGATAGTTCTTCCCTTGAATCCCCCACTGAATGGATGTGAACTTAGTATCATGCTGCTGGGTTAGTGTATAATTTTTGTTTTATAATAAAATGCGAGACCATCCTCAGAATCTGGACTAGTAAAGATGCTGTAACACTTTTTAAAAAACGTATGGCAGTCCCATTTAAACCCCGCATGGTAATTATATTCTGTCTTATGCATTCTTATACGTGTGATAAAAATACAAATAATTACAGTATTTCCCCCTTCTTTGTGTTCTAGAAGTGGAAGAAATACAATTCGCACCAGCCTATCCTGACAGCTTAAATGAAATTGAGTATTAAATACAGTCTGCTGAAAGGAGTGAAATGGGTAGAAGATCTGTATGTGAGAAACTGCACAAACTGCCAATTTTAAAAAGTTTTAAGTAAATACTGGACTGGTTTGAATATGCACCAATGTATAGGAAGAACTCAGAGCACTCGTGTTCCTCGCCTTTGCAATGAAATTATTGACTCAGGGCTTCTTAGACTGTTTTTTTTATATATTTTTTCTCTTTTGCATGAGGCATCAGTTATTATATAAAGCCTTCCCATTTTGCACAGATCATTCATTTTAATGCTTTTTTTTTTTTTTTTAACCTTTCTGGTATATAGGTAAAAAGAGGAAAGTAAAGGTGCACAATTAAAATCCAATATTGTGTTATCTCAAATCTGCATTCAGTGAATGTTTTTTGTTGGGTACAGAATGGATTTTTGTTAAGGAAATTATAAATATTTTGAAATAATAAAGAAAATTGTATTAGCTACTAGTAATAGCTTACAGGTTAAGTGCAATTATTCATGATGACAAATCTCTCTGGGAAACTTAACACTCTGCTGGCAATTTTTTGTGGTTTTGTATTCTTTTACTATAACAAATGTATTTGTTGTCCTTGCCAATAACAAACTCACTTCCAGTGTTCCAGTATAATTGAGTGTAAGCTGCTGACATTTTGAACAATATGAAATGAAACCCTTTGAAGACATACGTTTTCTGGCATGCAAGTCATGCATTTTTTTTTAATAAATCAGTTTGTACACTCACAGAGAATGTACTTAACACTTTACCCAACCACAGATGCCTTTCATTTATATTAACAGGAAACTGAATTCACACAACTTGTTAATTTTTAAGTTTTTATGTGTTTGTGTGTAACATTTTGGTTTGAAATTATTATAACTTCCTAATAAAATGTAACTTTGAAAATTGTCTTACTGCTCTGCTCTAGACTTTATAGTTATCGGTGTAACGAGAAACAACTGAGCCTAATATTGAATTCAGGCTATTATATTTCGAATATGAAGCAAATGAAGTGTGTGGATCACATCACCTAAGACAGCTGAGAGAAAGCAATCTGATATGCTGTATTGAGCCATAGAAAATATTCTTAGAGCCACCACATTCAAGCTGTTGCTGTAAGATGTGAGCCCTGAAAAGTGGGAATAGCCTTTGCTCCTTTCAGAACAAAGTATACATTTTTCCTAATGGCCTATAAGGATCAACATCACCTAGGACAATCTAGCCCCTTACATCTTTAGTAAGTTTTCATTTTGGTGACACAAACAGTTGAAGAGATTGTTCAATTAAATACATTCACTACTAATGTGTTTATTTGACCACACAGATTGAAGCAGTTTATTACTTCCTACAGACTGAGGAAGAGCCAAAAGGAATTGACATCTTAGCTGCCTATCCTAGCAACCTACAATCCCCATTGGCAGCTGGTTATGAACGCATCACTCTTGCTATTGTTCTGAAAATGAAAGCAACCAGAAACAATGGACTGTTTCCTAAGATTCAATACAGTTTTACAGTTGTTTTGTAAAGCTTATGCTTTGGTATCAACATTCAGATCAAATTACCTAAGCAGAAAACAAGTGAAAATGAAGTGGTTAAAATCATTAGGCTTGGTGGTTCTCCATGCTTCTGATGGGACTTCTTTTGTAAATGAAATGGAGCATGAAGTGTAACTTCGGACTCCTATCTCCAACAATTTATGCAGCTCTGCTTCATTCCATCAAAGTAACCAGATTTAGGCTGATATGAATAAGAACATAAGCAAAGTACTCTATTCTGCTCTCTGTTGAGCATTCTCTAGGGACCACACTGATGGGATGGTTTTGTCAGTATCACTGAGCATCATATTTATCTATAGGGTGTGAAGCACTGTCCTGACTGCAAAAAAAAAAAAGCCTAAGTTCTTCCTTCAGTAGGGAACAATGGCACTTTTCCACCCATTTCTGCTGCAGGAATTGAAGAACAGAGGGAGAATTTGGAAAGTGACTTTAAATTACTTTAGTACCTGCTGAATATCAGTTTATAGAATGGGAAATTCACGGCTAGTGAAAGAATGGCTGCAAAACATGTGAAAACTAGGGAAGGTGCATTAAGATTTTTCTACTGGCAAACTTCAGTTTTATGGTGAGATAAAAAACATTCCATCAGCTGTGTCCAGATGGGAAACTCCCCATGCAACTAATTTCTGCCCTGGATCCATTTTTATTTACTATTTGTTCCTTTCTCACTGCTGCAGTAGATGTACAGGGACCACAGCAGGGCAAAGAACAGTTCTGAGGCTTGCTATACCAGGCCTGCTTACTGTCTAATTTCTTCAAAAGCTAGTGGAGAACCTACAAGTAATTCCTTTGATCCCAGTTGTGGCAGTGCATGAAATGGAAATGAAAAAGAAACCTTCAAAAGCAGCTGTAACACCCCAAACACTAACAGGCTTGTATTTGATTGCTCTAAATGTAGCTTTGTGCTGGAGTGGAACTGAACTTGTCCTAAGATGCGAAGAAAAGCCCTTTTATTGCCCTCTTGTTTAATACTCTTCTCATTCTTCAAATATTTTCCATTAGTTGCTATTTTGTCATTATCCTTACTAATTTCCAAAAAAGGGCCAAATTCAGATCTCAGTTACACCAATGGAAAACCAAAATAACAACAACATAAAATAGCATTGTTATTCTAGCTCTACTCTAATGTAAATGAAATTGTATTCTGGCTGGATATTGTGTCACACCAAATTAAACCTAACATAAATCCAACTTTACAATCATGAAGCTTCACTAAGACAGCTCAAGCTGAGCACTAAAAGAGCTGGCATTTTATCTACCTGGATCCGAACACAGCTCCCAAGTCTGACTGCCCACACTCAAGAGACCCACCGCTCTGAAAGGACCACTGTGTAAGGTAAAAGGCTGAAGACAGCATGCTTTTCCTGCAACATGACACACTGACTCAAAGGTTCTACCCCTCACATTTTGGAAAAGACAAAACACCAGTCTCATCCTACCTCAAACAAAACATTAGGTGTCAGATGTAAAATTAATTTTCACATTTCCTTTGGAAAAACATTTCAATTGGTCATTTCAAGTTTCTTAGTTGCTTAAGTATAAATGAATAAACTTTCAATACTCCTTTACATTACTTTGCTCTATATTCATCTTCTTGCTGTTTTCTTCCCATCTTTCCTCTGTTGTTTTCCTGTCCTCCTCCTGCGCCTTTCTGTTTTTCCCACCTGTATGTGTTTTTTCTGAACATCAGCATTTTGGTCTCTTAGCCAACTGCATATTCTGCTATGTTCCTTTGCTCACTGCTAAGTACTGTGTTACATCTTGCTGCTCTTATGTTCTGTATTAGCTTTTATATGCTCCCTCTCTTCTTTCAAGAGCTCCTCTTGGTCCAAGCAGTGCCTACTTTGCAGCCTTCGCCATCTCCTTTTTCCAGCTCTTACCAGCATCCATAATCACCAGATCCTGGAAGGTGCTCCCTGACAAATTCTGGGAAAAAAAAGATCTCTTCAGCAGTTTCTAGTGGGAATATGTTGAAATGGTTCCTTAATCTACCGCCGCCTTCTCTTTTGGCTGGAAGTCACTGTTACTTAATGAGCCCAACTCTACCCTTTTGGTCTGCAAGCTTGAGACATAACTGATTTAGGAGACCATAATTTTTATTGATTAAGTACAACATTACCAACTAATAAATCAACTAATATTCCAATTAGCTAATAGACATACCAGTGTTACTAATTTACAATGATACAATTTCGCACTCTATTACACAGCTTTTACAAAACTATTATCACAAATCTTATGAACAACATACAGTTTTATCAGCCTTGCCCCTCCATACCACATAGTACTAGGGTACATTTTTATGCTTCTTTATTCTTCTACACCAAGTCTTCTGGACATGGACCATGGATAACCTGGGTTAGCCAAAGTGCCTGTCTGATGTCCTGGTGGGCTTGGACATGCAGGTCAGCTTCATTACTATCTATGGGCATCTGCACTCATACTGTTAGAGCAGAAGTCCCTGTCATTCTTTAACAGATCTTAACCTTTCTTCCCCCATTTTTTTCCTGCATCTGGAACAACCTTTTCACTGCCCTTGTACCTCCCTTTATCTACCTAAATTCCCTCAAAGAAGCAACCTGCCTTAAATAACTTTTTCCTCATTGGTCCCAATTCTGCTGCATCCATACCTGAAGTCGCTGTTCTGATGTCTTTACTGTGGCAGTATTGGTCTTTGCAAGCCTCCGCATGCCAAGTACCTGGTTCATATTGGAAAAACATTGTATTCCTTGTAAACTTTTTAGGAGAAATCACTCTATCTATGTGTCAATTCCTTTACCTAGTTCCACTTAAGCACAATCAGTTTCCTCTCTCTTTCAGCAGTCTTAATCAGCCTCTTGGTTCCTTGTAGAAGCTTTGGCCAGTTATGAGGCCTTGTGTTCCAACAGCAACTCTTGGTGTGAGAGAAAAAAATAAAGCATGTGGGAGCCTGGTGAGCTCAGTTGGTTAGAGCATGGTGCTAATAATGCCAAGGTCACAGGTTCAATCCCTGCTCACTGCAGGGGGGGGGGTTGTGCTAGATGATTCTCTCCTTCCAACCCAAAGCATTCTATGATTCTATGAAAGCTAAGGTATCTGCAGGAGTCTCAGTGACACTGGTGACTGCCCTGCAGTGAAGGTGCCAAAATCTTACACACACGCGTTCCTCCAGGATCATTCCTAAAGGACATCTATCCTTCCTATAGACTTCTGATCTCTGAAGTAACCCATGTGAAAAATGTGCTTCCTGTTATTTTGTTAAAAATTAAGAAAAAGTAAACAAACCCAGACAGGTGCTGGAACATGGAAACATGAAGAGTTCGCTCGCCCAGAACCCAAGCTTGTCCCCATGAACGAAGGGGGATACTTAGAAGGAGCCCACCCCTGCAGCACTGGCCGCCCAACTGCTC